GCTTGTCTGGCATCCAGCCTGGGCTGGGACTCAGCGATTGAGTACAAGTCAGGGACAGTCCCATCCTTGGCTGTGCTTGTTCCCAGGAGAGACAAATGAGTTCTGTGCTACCACTCAGGTTTCAGGTTCCAGGGGGCAGAACTTCTGAGAAAACAGATTGCGGAGGAGTCCTTCTGCAGGTCTGCTCCCCAGGGCCTCCCTTGGACACCATCCCCTTTTCTTCTGTGTCTCTTTTCCAATTTCAGCCCTTCTTTGAGAAGACCCCCAGCCCTCCTGGTCCCTCCTCGCCACTTTATCAAAAATCTGATCTTTGGAAAGACTTTACTGTTTGTGATCATTGAATGAGAGCCTTCCTCACGATTTTAAGAATGTTCAAAGCCTTGGTTTACTCAGCCAATGTTTGTCTTGTGCTCACTAGGTGGCAGGCATCATCAGAAATGGTAAAGACAGATAAGGCCACGGCCCCTAGAGTGTTTTACCCCCTAGAGGGAGAGATGGGTGAATTGATACCTAGACTTCTGGGAGGGTAAGCCAGGAGAATTGCTGAGGGCCAGCGATGCATCTAAGTTACCTAGATTTCCCGGCAGGCAAGTTCTATAGAATCTACATCTCAGTGTCCTCATTGTCAGTGAGCCTGTTTCTTGGGATGAGGATGAAATAATTGGCTAAATGCTGTTGGTTGAAATTAGTGGCCCATGAAGCAACTTAGAGGTTTACAGGTGATATGATTTCTTCTCATTATTTGGCAGACTTGAACTGAATTTGTTTTGAGGTAATTCCATGTGCAAGTGGAAGGTTTTGCCCAGACCAGGGCCCTGAAAACTACAACCCATGGACCAAATCTGTCCTGTTACCTGTTTCTGTGAGCTGAGAATGATTTTTTACCACCTTGATTCATTATGTTCTAAGTGGTTATTTAAGTACCCACATAATAGCCTCAGTTATGCTGGGAAAGATTGAGGGCAGGAGAAGGGGACGACAGAGGATGAGATGGTTGGATGGCATCACTGACTCAGTGGACATGGGTTTGGGTGGACTCTGGGAGTTGGTGATGGACAGGGAGGCCTCGCGTGCTGCAGTTCATGGGGTCGCAAAGAGTCGGAAACGACTGAGCGGCTGAACTGAACTGAACTGAATCTAAAATATTGACTGTCTGGCCCTTTAGAGAAGAAGTTTGCCAAACCCTAGTCTAGACCCACTCTGTCTACTAGAACTTTGTACAGTGATTGAAAATGTTCCATATCTGTGTGCTTGAACACAGTAACCACAAACCTGATGTGACTTTGAGTACTTGAAATATGGTTAGTGTGACTGAGAGACTGAATTTGAAAATTGCACTTCATTTTAATTCGATTTTTTTAAATTTGATTTTTAATTTAATTTTTTAATTTGCACTTCAATTTAAATTGAAACAGCTATACGTGACCAGTGGCCATCACATTGGCCAGAGCAGCTTTAGACCACTTAAGTCTGAAGATTCTGTATTCTCTGTGTTCTTGTCTCTCAATTTAATCAACTTCCCAGAGGCTGTCTGAGTCAAGGGGACGCAGCACTCCTAATCAGATTTTGGGGGCCCTGGACTGGCTTTAACTGTCTACTAGAAAATGTTTAATGGAAAGTGCTAGAAAAATGTGTGTGAGCATACACTTACTTCCTCTTAAAGCTGTATCCATGACATCTGCTGTTGTTTGGGGTAAGGCAGTTGGCTTTTTCAACCCCAGAAGGCCCCAAATTAAGGAAGTCTTAATCATCTTTAGCGTTCAGGCTGCAGGCAGTGAAAACCTCACTTAGCGACGCTATATTTCCTTCCATCCCTGCTTGCAGAACTAAAACTAAAGTTAGCTTTCCAGGGCACCCAAAGCTGGTTCTCTGGGACAACCCAGAGGGATAGGGTGGGGTAGGAGGGGGATTCAAGTTGGAGGGGGACACATATATACCTGTGGCAGATTCATGTTGATGTATGACAAAAACCATCACAATATTGTAAAGTAATTATCCTCCAATTAAAATAAATGAATTTAATAAGAATAAAGTTAGCTTTCTATCCCCCCCAGGCTAACTTCAGCCCTAGGGCATTTCTGTCATAAGATTGCCTAGAACAGTTAGGAGTCATCACCACATATCGTCATTAGGAATATTGTCAAGCAATTTCCTCTTAGAGTAAAACTGCAGTTGGCATTCTGGGAATGCCATGTAAGTATGATGACTAGAGTTTATAATACTGTATTGCGTATTTGAAAGTTGCTAAGACAGTAGATCTTAAAAGTTCTCATCAGAAGGAGAAAAAAATTCAAACTGTGTGTGGTAACTAAACTTACTGTGATGATCATTTTGCAATATATACATATATTAAATCATTATGTTATACACCTAACCTACTCCAAGGAGAATTTCTTTTAACTATTTTGCTGTATTTCACTATTCATTCATGTATGCATTTATTCTTTCATTCATGTATTTTGCAAACATAATCAGCATTAAGTGCGAGACATTGTTTTACATGAGGGCACACAAAACCCTGCTCTCTTGAAGCTAACATTTTCATGCAAAATAGATATAAAACAAATAAGCACATAAACCAGAAGTGCATAAATAATCCACATTATTATTTCTGATTGTGCTAAAAACTATGAAAGAAATAAAGCCCAGTAGTCTAATACAGAGTACATATACCTCTCTGAGCCACAGTTGACTCATATGTAACATGGGGATAATAATAGAGGTCTACAATTCCAGGATCCCTAAACTGAAAGCTTTGTCCTAACTCAGTTGATGGCAAGCACAACTTAATCTGAACTCATTTGGAGGTGAATCTTAGACCGGAACCAGATGATCTAGTGTTTGTTGTTTTTGTTCTTCTTTTTTAAATCCCACTTAGAGTGGATAGTCCTGTGCTTTACTGCAGAAATTTTTATGCGTTTGATTATGAGATGCTGCCCCAGATTCCAGTTCGAGTGTTACATAATATGAGGTACATGCCTCACATTACCTTGTAAAATCTGAAAAATTCGGAGTTCCGAAACACATCTAGTTGCAAAGGTTGTGGATAAGAGATCAAAGACCTGTAATGCTGCCCTCATGTGGTTAATATGAAGATGAAATGAGTGAGTTAATATATGTAAAGCACTGAAAACTTTGCCCAGCAAATGCTAAATGCTATCTAAGTTAATTACTGCTCCTGTCTTTATCACTGTTATTACATGGGAGGGTATTTAGAGAAGTTGCTCAGAGACGGGCTCTCTGGGGATGTGTCATTTAAGCGGACACCCAGGGGATGAGAATGACCTGACTGTAGGAAGAGGAGAAAGATCATTTCAGGAAGTGGGAACAGCAAGTGCCAAGACTGGCTCAAATGCAGAACAGAAAATAGGCCGGATATCTGCCATGTGGTCAAAGAAGGGGATAAGTGGTTCAAGGTCAGTGTGGTAGGCTAGAGTCAGAACATGCATGATATAAACAATGGCAAAGACTTTGGACTTCATTCAGAATGTAATGAGTGATCATTGTAGTTGATCTGATTCATGTTTATAAAGACTGCTCTGATGCTCTTGATGGATGAATTGTAGAGGAGGTTGGGAGTCAAGGAGACCAGGCTTGAGTCCAGTGTGATGATAGTCCAGGTGAAACCTCATGGCGAAGTGGAGTGGAGGGTGGGAGTAGACAAGGAGAAAAGTGGACGGGTACAAGAAAACATTTAGAAATGGGAGGAAAAGACTTAATAAAATGATAATAAATTAACAAGCTTTAGGCGTGTAAAGATGTGTGAAGAAGCTCTTTGAACTCCTTCTTTAACCATCTTGCAGTAGAGGAAATGCTGAGGGAAAATTTTGCTAATTTATCCCCTATTAAAGGAATTAAGGGAAGTAGGCAGTGGATTTATTGGATATGGGCATGACTGGTTGATTCAGTCAGTTGGGGGGATGAATGCGTTAGTTGAGCTGGAAACTGTTGTAGAGACCCAGGCTAGATCATCCCATGGATGAACACAGGTGAAATGAAAACCAGTGTTCTGGAGGAAAATATTGATAGAAATTCTGAAACTTGAGAGTGAGTCTATGGTTAAACCACCCTTTATGCCAGGCAAGCTCGAGTTAATAGGGTGGTTAGTAAAACTCTTCCGTGTGTCCCATATTCCCTCTTAAGGTCTTTTTTGCCCGGGGTCCAAGTGTTTCTGATACTAAACATAGATGCCCATGAATTACCAGTAAGAGTAGGTTCCCACATGTCCCAGTTGGTCTGAGAGAGTCTGTGCCTGTAGTCTTGGCATAAATTATTAAAGCCCTCCCCTTTCATCCCCATGAGTATCCTGTTTGATCAATTGGGGATCACCCAGGCGGTACCCTACTGTACTACCCCCTTCCCAAATCTGTGTAATGTAAACCCAATGTGTAGGGAAAATGTTCATCCCCAAGTCATCTTGGAGATGATTTCCACAAATAGTCCGAGAAGAAAGTGGGATTATAGATAGCAGTGCCAAAATGTCAGGAGTTGGGTGACCATAAACAGATCAATTAATATCTCTGAGCTGTGTCTCAATCTGTCAAATGGGCATAGTGGATCACTTCTATTTCTCTACTTAGCATATTAAGAGGCTCAGATGTGGTAAAGGACTCTTGTAACGTGTACCAGAGTGGGCTTAACAAGGAAACGTTAATGGCACTAAAGGTTTTCTCACCAGATGTAGCTGCATGTCAGACTTTGGCAGCATATTGATGGCTCTTCCATTGTAACATTCTAAGTAACAGGGAACAGGAAAATGCTGCTTCCCCCATCTGAAAAGCTAAGATGCTAAAAGTGAAATATGTAAGTTTTTATGAACCTCAGTAATTGACAACTACAGTCATGGGGTGGGGGCAGGGATGCTCTTTAGACAGTTGAGAACAATAAACCTGAACTGTTTATTTTTCAAATGGAGCAAAAGAGAGGCAGCAAATGAGACTTTTAAATTCTGATTCTTGGTGTATTTTAAACGGGTGATTTCTTCTTTCTTATACTTTCAGGTGTTTCCAATGTGGACATTGAAGAGACAGTTTCCTATCCTTTTTAACATGATCCTAATTTCTGGACTCCTTGGGGATAGATGGTTTCCTAAAACTCTGCCCTGTGATGTCACTTTGGATGCCCCAAATGCCCATGTGATTGTGGACTGCACAGACAAGCATTTGACAGAAATTCCTGGAGGTATTCCCGCCAATGCCACCAACCTCACCCTCACCATTAACCACATAGCAGGCATCTCTCCAGCCTCCTTCCACCGGCTGGACCATCTGGTGGAGATCGATTTCAGATGCAACTGCGTACCTGTTCGACTGGGACCAAAAGACAACGTGTGCACCAAAAGGCTACAGATTAAACCCAACAGCTTTAGCAAACTCACGTATTTAAAATCTCTTTACTTGGATGGAAACCAGCTTCTAGAAATACCTCAGGATCTTCCTCCCAGCTTACAGCTGCTGAGCCTGGAGGCCAACAACATCTTTTTGATCATGAAGGAGAATCTAACAGAACTGGCCAACCTAGAAATACTCTACCTGGGCCAAAACTGTTACTATCGTAACCCTTGTAATGTTTCATTTACCATCGAAAAAGATGCTTTCCTAAATATGAGAAATTTAAAATTGCTCTCCCTAAAAGATAACAATATATCAGCTGTCCCCACTGTTTTGCCCTCTAGTTTGACAGAACTCTATCTTTACAATAACATCATTACAAAAATCCAAGAAGATGATTTTAATAACCTCAGTCAACTACAAGTTCTTGACCTGAGTGGAAATTGCCCTCGTTGCTATAATGTTCCATTTCCTTGCACACCCTGTGAAAATAATTCTCCCCTACAGATTGATCTAAATGCTTTTGATGCATTGACAGAATTGCAAGTTTTACGTCTACACAGTAACTCTCTTCAGCATGTGCCCCAAAGATGGTTTAAAAACATTAACAAACTTAAAGAACTAGATCTTTCCCAAAACTTCTTGGCCAAAGAAATTGGGGATGCCAAATTTTTAAATCTTCTTCATAATCTTGTCAACTTGGATCTGTCTTTCAATTACGATCTTCAGGTCTACCATGCAGTTATAAATCTATCAGATGCATTTTCTTCACTGAAAAACTTGAAAGTTTTGCGAATCAAAGGCTATGTCTTTAAAGAGCTGAAGAGTTTAAACCTCTTCCCGTTACGTAATCTTCCCAGTCTTGAAGTTCTTGATCTTGGCACTAACTTTATAAAAATTGCTGACCTCAGCATATTTAAACAATTTAAAACATTGAAATTCATAGATCTTTCAGTGAATAAAATATCACCTTCGGGAGATTCAACTGAAGGTGGTTTCTGCTCTAACATGAGAACTTCTGTAGAAGGCCATGGGCCCCAGGTCCTTGAAGCATTGCATTATTTCAGATATGATGAGTATGCAAGGAGTTGCCGGTCCAAGAGCAAAGAGCCACCTTCTTTCTTACCTCTTAATGAAGATTGTTATATGTATGGGCAGACCTTGGACCTTAGTAGAAATAATATATTTTTTATCAAGTCTTCTGATTTCCAGCATCTTTCTTTCCTCAAATGCTTAAACTTATCAGGAAATAGCATTAGCCAGACACTTAATGGGAGTGAATTTCAGCCTTTAGTGGAGTTGAAATATTTGGACTTCTCTAACAATCGGCTTGATTTACTCTACTCAACAGCATTTGAGGAACTGCGCAACCTGGAAGTCCTAGATATAAGTAGTAACAGCCATTATTTTCAGTCAGAAGGAATTACTCACATGCTAAATTTTACCAAGAACCTCAAGGTTCTGAAGAAACTGATGATGAACTATAATGACATTGCTACCTCCACCAGCAGGACCATGGAGAGTGAATCTCTTCAAATCCTGGAGTTCAGAGGCAACCATTTGGATGTTTTATGGAGAGATGGTGATAACAGATACTTAAAATTCTTTAAGAATCTGCTAAACTTAGAAGAGCTAGACATCTCTGAAAATTCTCTGAGTTTCTTACCTGTGGGAGTTTTTGATAGTATGCCTCCCAATCTAAAGACTCTCTCCTTAGCCAAAAATGGGCTCAAGTCTTTCAATTGGGGAAGACTGCAGAGTCTAAAGAATCTAGAAACTTTGGACCTCAGCTTCAACCAGCTGAAGACTGTCCCTGAGAGATTATCCAACTGTTCCCACAGCCTCAAGAAACTTATACTTAAGAATAATCAAATCAGGCGCCTGACAAAGTATTTTCTCCAAGGTGCTTTCCAGTTGCGACATCTGGACCTCAGCTCAAATAAAATTCAGATAATCCAAAAGACGAGTTTTCCAGAAAACGTCCTCAACAATCTGGACATTTTGTTTTTGCATCACAATCGATTTCTGTGCAACTGTGATGCTGTGTGGTTTGTCTGGTGGGTTAACCATACCGAGGTAACTATCCCTTACTTGGCCACGGATGTGATTTGCATGGGACCAGGAGCACACAAGGGCCAGAGTGTAGTCTCTCTGGATCTATATACCTGTGAGTTAGATCTGACTAACTTCATCCTGTTCTCACTTTCCATATCAGCAGTTCTCTTTCTGATGATCATCACAACAGCAAACCATCTCTATTTCTGGGATGTGTGGTATAGTTATCATTTCTGTAAAGCCAAAATAAAAGGGTATCGACGTCTGATATCACCCAATTCTTGCTATGATGCTTTCATTGTATATGACACTAAAGACCCAGCAGTGACAGAGTGGGTTTTGGACGAGCTGGTGGCCAAACTGGAAGACCCGAGAGAGAAGTGTTTTAACTTATGTCTCGAGGAAAGGGACTGGTTACCAGGGCAGCCTGTTCTGGAAAATCTTTCCCAGAGCATACAGCTTAGCAAAAAGACGGTGTTTGTGATGACAGACAAGTACGCAAAGACTGAGAATTTTAAGATAGCATTTTACTTATCCCATCAGAGGCTCATGGATGAAAAAGTGGATGTAATCATCTTGATATTCCTTGAGAAGCCCCTTCAGAAGTCCAAGTTTCTCCAACTCCGGAAGAGGCTCTGTGGTAGTTCTGTCCTTGAGTGGCCAACAAACCCACAGGCTCACCCGTACTTCTGGCAGTGTCTGAAAAACGCCCTGGCCACAGACAATCACGTGACCTACAGTCAGGTATTCAAAGAGACAGCCTAGCCCTTCTTTGCCGAATGTGACTGCTACCAAGGAGAAGCGCGGCTGCCTCCATCGGCTCATCCATGTCTTGCCAGAAGAGCGTTTTAAGATTCTCCAAGCCCTGGGATTGCTCATATTGGAGAGGAGTCACCAATACATGACACAGGAAGCAGAAAAATGGGATTTATATAAGCGTCAAGTCATCTTTCTCAGCTCTCTCTGTCTCCATTTGCACTTGAGTCTCTGTCTTGTGCCCTTGCATAAAATACTGTTGGGAGAAGGGTGGCAGGTGGAGGATGGGGGACTTTAATTCTCCTGTAATTGTGATTATTACATATACACACAGTCACCAAGAACTGCACTTCTCCCCTTAAGAGGCACTGGTATGTATAGAAATAGGGTTAAAAAAAGGCCCAGAGTCTGCTTATATGGCATTAAAATGTACCAGTTAATTAGTGGTAAAAATAAAGATACAGTTCATTCCTCAGCCAGTTGACTCAACCATCTAGTGCCCCGTTTTGTGCAGACCAAGTGTGACACCCGGCAGGTGGTTGCGGCTCAGTGCTCCTTGCTCTTTCTCTCCTGGGCCTGTTATTGGGTCCTTTGGGGAAACAGAAACATCTTTGTCATCGATGGACATAGTCTACTAACAAATGGGAGAAGAATAAAGCGCTCTGTATGCAAAGTCATGCTCTTTACTTTTGACGATAATTTACCTCCTTAAATATGGCTCTGGACTAAATGTTTCTCTCCCCCCAGGTTCGTATGTTGAAATCCTAATCCTCCAGTGTGATGGTGTTGGGAGGTGGGGTTTTTAAGAAGTGGTTAGGTCATGAGACTGGGGAGCCCTCGTGATGGGATTACTGCCTTAGAAGAAGCAGTCAGGGGACTCACTTGCTGTGTTCCCACCGTGTGAGGGTACAGAGAGAGGCTGGCAGTCTGTAACACACAAGAGGACCCTCAGCAAAACCAGATCATGTTGGCACTCTGATCTCCTTCAGACTGGCTTCCACGCTTCAGACTTGTGAGAAATAAATGTTTGTTCTTTAAGCCACGCAGTTTGTGATGTTTTGTTACAGCAGCCGAGCTAAGACAGATATTTTTATCTGCATGGCAAAGTACTGTTTCCAAAGAAAAGTTGCCTTATCCAGTGATCTTTCAGACTGCTTTATTAACTAATACTGTATACTTGTAATTATCTGAAAACTTGATCCATCAACGTCAGGCAGCTTTGATGGTAAATTCTAAAGGAGAACCCCAAGAGCATATATTTATTTAGAGTTAGCAAGCAGGGATGACAGCCACATGGATTCCTTTAAATTTGGAGGCTGGGGGAGGAATAGAGGTTTATCACCATTAACACTGAGAAAGCTTCAGTCTTGAGCTTTGGCTTCAGTACTCAAAAAAAAAAAAAACCACCAGAAAGGACCAAGATGTTCTGAAGACACACATACTTTCTAAGTGTGTATAAATTTGCATGAGTTCAAAGTCTGAAATGTGACCTGTTTGTTTTTTTTTTGTTTTTTTTTATTTTTTTTTTATCACAACCATAGTGTATCTTTTTTTTTTTTTTTTTTTTACATGTATTCCCCATCCCGGTCCCCCCTCCCACCTCCCTCTCCACCCAATCCCTCTGGGTCTTCCCAGTGCACCAGGCCCGAGCACTTGTCTCATGCACCCAACCTGGGCTGGTGAACTGTTTCACCCTAGATAATATACGTGTTTCAATGCTGTTCTCTTGAAACATCCCACCCTCGCCTTCTCCCAGAGTCCACAAGTCTGTTCTATACATAGGAGTCTCTTTTTCTGTTTTGCACATAGGGTTATCGTTACCATCTTTCTAAATTCCATATATATGTGTTAGTATACTGTAATGGTCTTTATCTTTCTGGCTTACTTCGCTCTGTATAATGGGCTCCAGTTTCATCCATCTCATTAGAACTGATTCAAATGAATTCTTTTTAATGGCTGAGTAATATTCCATGGTGTATATGTACCACAGCTTCCTCATCCATTCGTCTGCTGATGGGCATCTAGGTTGCTTCCATGTCCTGGCTATTATAACCTGTTTGTTTTTATTTCATGAAAGACGTTATCTACAGAGGTGTCTGTGCCCTTTGGAAGATAGCTTCAAATCTCAGACTATTATCTGGGAGATAACTGTGTTTTCTTCATATATGGAAAAGCCAAAGGTTTTACTCTGAGGATGGCTATATGTATTATTTCCAAAGGACATGTAATCAATAAAGGTCACAAACCCCCAAATTAATCTCTGGAATCACCAGAGTCAACGATCTGACAGCCTCGGTAAACTCGATTGTACTTCACAGGTGCCTACGTAAAAACAAAGATAACGTCATAAAAATTGGCTGTTGGCATCATAAATTTCTTCTATCAAAACACATAACTATACATTTTTAAGTTATTTTGGTGATTTATAAACCATGAAGCACTTAAAGACGACTTAAGCATCTTCTGAAATGAATCAAGAGGAAGGGAAACTGAAAACAACACAACTCAGAAACCACAGTGTATTTCAACATGAGGTTGTGCACAGTAGTTTGTTGTAGGAAATGACCCAAAGCACATTAACAGATGGTTTTCATTTTAATCCCTTTGTATCTTGACAAGTCACTCATTTAATCTCCTGAGGGTCCTCTGTGGAGTCCTGTACCATTAGAGCCATTCATAGATGACTCAGATCGAAAGCCACCATCTCAGGCCACCAGGAGAAAATGACTGCTAGGTCCCCTGCCAAGTTCTGAGTGTGGAAGAGACTCTGGATTGTCCATGAATCCCATGCTACCATGAAGGGGTTCCCAGCCTCTTCCAGCTCTGAACCTGCCCTTCCTCCTCAGATAGAGACTGTACCTTAGCACGACTTGGGCATTTGTAGGATCCAAGCCAAGAGAGGCTTTGGGCAAGTAAGTGTTATGGCTGCGAAAACGGCAAAGCACACATCTGCAGTCTGTAGAGTGGAGAAAGGCTGAGTCTAACTGCAACCCCATGGCTGAGTCAGGGTCTCTTAAGGTCTCTTGGCCCATCCTCACATCTACTTCAGCTCTGTCCAAACAGTCTTAGGTCCAGCTGATCTCTTACATGTAGTCAGGGAGTACAGAGTACATAAGAGGGGCCGCAGTGATGTAACAGTCTGCACGTCTTGTTGTCTTGTTCCCAAGGAAACTGGCGGGGACAGCAAGGATGCGCATGCCTCTTTTTCAGGAGGCTGTCCCTGGCCCCCCATATAACATGCTTTTTGTTGACCTCTCGTGGTTCTCACCAAGGGGCTCCAGCTTGCATCTCCTGTAAGGTATTTATGGCCTCGTTTTACAGTGGGGAGTGGGGACAAGGTTTGATTTGTCCTCCATCTCTTCTGCACACACTCAAGCGGGCAGAGAACCCTAGCTAGGGGGCAGATTGACCAGCTGGGCGGTGGGATGCCTGGCCTCGGGAGCAGTTGGTAGTGGGACACGAGTCCCCTCTGCTGGAAGTCTGAACCCTTGAGCCTGAGAAGCACTGGGAATTCCTTGTATCTCCGAAAGTACGAATATCAGTGTGGGAGGAAAATGACCAAAGAATGTGATTGAGAGCGACTCCAAAGGAGATGTTCTCTGGAGAACCCGAGGCCTGAAAATGAATCCATGTCACTGAGTTAAATGAAGGCAAACGTGAGACGCACCAACCGACCAACATGGTGAAGAGGGAGGATCACAGAGTGAAAAAGCCCCAAACCCATGAGGAGCTTGTGTGGTGGAGGGCCTGGTGACACGGGGCCTGTCCACACTGGTGACAGTGAAATGACAGCAGGGCACTTGCACCCTGTTTGAGGGTTTTCTGTCTCTTGTCTCCCCGTCCCTCTCAGTTTCCTTTTCGGCTTTAGGGCCCACGGCAAGTCTCGTGTCCTGCACAAGAATGAAGAGAAGGAGCCGTCGTTGCAGGTGGCTTCTTCTGTTGGGAAGCACTGGTTTGGTGTGTAGTCCTGGTGTAACACTGGTCTCTTTCCCACACACACAGAGTCAATCCCCACCTGCTTCAGTGAGCCTGAGCTTCTGAATTGGCATGGTGAAACTTTCCCTGGCTGACATGGGCCAGACTCTCCGAGTCAATTCAAATTCATATTCTTTCAACTTATCTCAATTTTCAAGCCTTTGGGCTAAGAAACTGGACAATATCTGGTGCTCTGCCTTCAAGATTACCCGGCTCTTGGGTTGTAAGTATTTGTAGTTTCTAGCATGTTTGCCATGACATTTCAGTGGTTGTATTTCTCTGTATAAACATCCCATCTCCCTCTTGGTGATTTATATTAACTGTTTTGGAAGAGCCCAGACAAATTGGCTGAGGAGGTTTGAGTCCCAGTGTCTCACAAGCACCCTCCAGAAATAGTCTGTTAGTTTCTAGAGGGTAAGAGGAAGTCCCTGTGGCCTTGTGGCAATTTTCAGACATCCCTAGAGCCCACCAGTGGTCACGGTGAGATGGGCAGATGCTTCTAACACAAGAAGACGGTTCTCAGTATCCTGGCTGGTGGTAGCCCTGAAGCAAAGGCCAGACAGACAACTAAGACAGCATCTTTGTCGTGTATGATACACATGACTGCTTCATTGGTCACTGGCCAAGGAGATGCAGCGGGTCAGACATCCCAGAGGCTTTTGCAGTAGTGAATTGCATGAGCTGTAGAGCTTGGTAGGAACATCTCCATGAACCCATGTCTGAGACCCTTTGTCCAGGGGGACTGTGCTGCTAAGAAAACTGGCAGGGAGTGAGGAGGGTGACTCTTTTGGCAGTTAGAACCAGCCTGCTGTCCTGAAGTCAACTGGAAACACTGGGTAACACTCCTGGGCCAGGCCCAAATGGTGGCCCACCATTACAAGGTGGCCCACCTTGTAATCAGGTGGTAGGCATTAAGTGGACTTCCCAGGTGGCTCAGTGGCTCAGTCTCCTAAAGGGTCCACCTCCCAAGCAGGAGACATGGGTTCAATCCTTGATCCCGGAAGATCCCCTGGAGGAGGAAATGGCAACCCATT